AGCAAGTTCAAAGTCACGACGCTTTGCTTATGACACCACAAGTCGTGAAGACCGACTTTTCTAATTTTAACTTTTGCGACTCGTAAATCAATCCTGTCTCTTTTCGCCATTCGTTGGAATTTATAAAGCTTGAATAAAAAATGATAGGCCTGAATAAAAAATCGATATTTAACAGTAAAGAATCGATTTTTAACAGATAAATTAAAAATATCTCTTACTCTTTTTTTTTCAATAAAGTATTTCAGAATTTAAAAATGTATAAAATAATAAAAAGAAGATCTATACACTTATCGTTATATTTTTCACCGTTATATAATTTCATGTGAAATCATAAAAATATGTATACACGTATATTCATCTGTCCGTTTTTTTTTAATTTATTTAATTATGCTACAATGAAAAAATATGCAGATAATATAATGAAATTCGCAAGTGTGATAAAAAATACAGATTTTATTAAATATAAGATTTTATAAAATACAGATTTTATTTGATATAATGAAATTTGGCATGTGTATTCATATAACATAAATATTACAGAGTATGAATATTGATATAAAAAATCTTATAAAGTACAAATATATTTTAGATATAAAATCATGTGTATATAAAATTTATTAATCGCTTCTCTCTGTAATGTCACTTAATTTCACACGTTAACTTGTTATACGTATATACGCGAATGCGTATGCATATTTTTTAATTATTATAATAAATTAATAAAATAAATATAGAATACAAGTAATAATTATCTATTAAATTGATATAGCAATTAATTAATTGAATCGATTAATTGATTGATAAATAAGTAATAAAAAAAATTTTATCTTAATGTATTTTACAGAGATAAAAATATTTATCTTTATTGATCACTTTTAAATATTGATATTTCGAAACAAGATTTGATAGTGGTTTCTTTATATTCGAGAGTGTATGAGAAAGTAGCATTCCGATATAAATCTCAAATAAAATTAATTCTTATACCTTTCAATAAAATTTATTTCTTGAAAGAAAATAGCTTAAAAGAAGATTACATATAAATCTTATTTACATAATTATTGTAAAATACAGTACCATTAATTTGCAATAATTAAAAATAAATTAAAATTTCAAACTAATAATATTTTAAGCTCATTTTTTACATATCGCATAACTATAGCACTCAGAAATGTAACAATTTAAGCTGCCTGGAAAAATCATCGATCAAATAAAATATATATCAAGTTTCTATTTTCATCACGACTTTCCGATACTCTCGGATAAATTAATTCCGAATAGCACTCAATTGGTTATTCCAACGAAATCGACAATGAATCAATAGTAATGGGCGAATATAGTGGGCTCGAACGTGCGCTGCGAGCTTAGAAACCGGTTGGACGTCTCCCATGAGAGAAAAGACCATCCAAAAGCAGCGACGGCAACTCGTGTGCCAACGAGTTGGAAAGCGAATCTCCTTTTTGATCATTGAGCAATGCTATTCTGCGGTGGATTCGCTGATCTAAGCTAGTCTCAATGTTGCTTAAGACCACGATTATTAAACTCGCACAGAATGTCCAACGAGTTTATCAGTTTCTCGAAAGGTGTAACGATATTCGTACATATAACAAGTAACTATAAATATCGAATCAGTTTCGTTTCTTTTGAGAAATTCGTCATCAGTAAAATTTCCCTGTTTTTCTATTTACACTTCTCATCGTTTCATTGATTTACCTATGTTTCCTTCAAACTATTCAATTTTACTTTACTTACTATAAAAGTTTTCGATAACGCGCATCTGAAGTATTGTAATAAATGAGAGAGATTAAGGACTACTCCCAAGTAAAATAAGATAAGATAATTAAGTTTAATTAAAAGCATAGATTATTTTGTTTTAAAACAAGAATATATCTTGAACTTGATATTTTCTACAAATAATTCTTTGAGTAATTTAAAATGAGTTACAGATATTGAGTTTCTTCGGCAAAGAAAAAAAAAATTATAACACAAATTTTACTATTACACAAAAAAGTACTCAATAATAATAATTAAGGAACTGATAAATTTCTCTGGTGAAATCTTTATTCTTTTGTTTCAAAGAAAGAGAAATTTCTCGAATTCTGATTCTTTTCTAGAGGAATGAAAAGTATCCAGAGGTACCAGCTGAATATGTCGCTATATTGCTATTTCGCATGCAACCGGAAGAACGGCATGGTGAAGTGATGCGGGGACGAGGTGGTGGATCTGTCTAAAGGTTCGGTAAGGTAAGGGTAAGGGTGAAGCTCGGTCAGCCGGGGGCGATACGCCGTGAGTATCGACCGCGTCGCCAGAGACGCTTTTATACGTTAAACGCG